CCATATAATCATACTTAACTCATTAAATACTGAAATTAGAAGAAAAATGCATAGAATCTAATTAATAATATAGAGATTAATAATATATAAGATACTTCTAATGTTCTAATTAATAACGTCGCTCTTCAAATATTTTAAAAGTAATATCGAATCGATCTGATAAATTTTATCAAAATTATCGTCTGTCAACTTATCGTCTGTCAACTTCACATTGACTTGTTTGTGCACCACAGTGCACCTCAAGTATGGTAAGCTCGCTCGGAACCGATCCCAGAACGCACTTAAAGCTTGATTGTGAGAACTCGACGTAACTCATAAACAGTCGCGGATGAAAACGTTAAGAGCGATTCGATCCGAAGATAATTTTCCATAATAGAACCGGGCAGCACTCGGCCATTGTTCCGCGGCATTGTCCGCGGGCAAAACGTGTCTCACGCGTGTCGACCGCTCGTGAACCATCGCGTACACCAGCAACAATAATAGCAACGCTCTCCCGCTGGGTGGGACGGCGGGCGCACTTAGAATCGCAGCGTCTCATGCTTGCTTACTTGTTGATGTTTTAACAACCCCACGTGCGAAAACTGAGAGCGACACTTTTAACCCTACAGATATTATATATACCATCGGACACGGTTCCGTGCCTCTCTGCTGCCCTTTAAAGGGATGGATACGAGCAACTCGAAGCTAGCCACGTTTTGCGGTTCGACCGCACTCGTCAACTAATTGCCCGTGTAATCACATTGTCTGCGGTGGAAATATTAACTATAGGGTGAACTCGGGTCATTTCGGTGAGCCAAGCTTTAACTATATCTAATTTCCTCCGCGTCAGAGGAGAATATCGATCTTCAAATTAAACGTGAAAAATCCAATCCGAGTTCACGAGAAACAAGAAAACTGATGAAAAGTTGGTCGGAGCGGGTGCTCTGATATCGATGTTGCAACAGTAAAGGCAGAGATTATCTTATAAAAGTCGTAATCAAACGAACATTAACTCGAATCCCAATCAACCGCACTGATAAAGCGTTAACTCCAACTCACCGAGCCCGTCTAACAAAATCTGATCTACCAATTTGCATCGAGCAACTGTAACCTGTTACCACCGTTCCACTCGTACCGTGAACGAAGACACGTGAATGAAACCGAGCTCCAATATCTCGGCCACGAGAAATAAATTCTGCGAAGCATTCTCCCAACGCGTGTCACTAATCTCATTACAGGGAACGAAGTTATGGGTTGACAAAAGGTCCGTCGTCGCGAACGTTAGAATTGGATACGAGGAAAGTCTGGAGTTCTGTTAATTCAATAACACCTACGGACGCATCAGCGTGTTGTCTGGCAGCTATGCACATCCCCTTGCTAGCACAGCAACACAGAGGTGGAGCAGGAACAGGAGGAGGAGGAGGAGGGTAACGCGACCGCCGCAGGCCGGAACAACCTTCTCGCGATAATTACTACTAGCACCATTTCGTGGCCGAATGGGCCGGTCAGTCTCGAATTCGTGGCCCGGAGGTTTCGTGCAACTTTCCACGCTGTGCGAGAGAGACAGGCTGCACCATTGAACGGCATTGCAAGTCGCAATACACGCACAAGCCTTATACGGACGCGAGAAAGCGAGCCCAGCCGTCTCTCCCTCCCCATCGCCGAGCCAGTCGTTAACCCTCTCCTGATCCGGAGCGTGGAACCCGGTCCTGGACGTCAAACAGGACCAGATATGCCGTGTTGCGGCTACGAGCTGGTATACGTATACGTATGCAAGTGTAAGCGGCTACACTCTCTACCTGGACCAGGTGCAATCGACAGGTCGCCGTTCCGACCGCAGGATACGTATTATCGATCCTTGGATCCATTGAAAATATCCATTTTCTTCAAGTTCTCAGAAATCTCTCGAGCCACTGATCGATGATAATTGATCAATGAGTCATTTTCTTGCTCAGCGTGATAATACTGAGTTTATGCTTCATTTTTTAAATATCCTTAAATATATTTTCCTTTCTTGAAATGGTCAAAATGATGGAGAAAATATCATGGAATCCAGAAAAGCACAATGTCATAATATTGGACAGTGGCTTTGAGACAATAGGTCCACAGTCTAGTTAACACGTTTCAAGTATTGATTTAAGTCGAAAGGTACGAAGAAAAGTTCTGCGAGACAAGATAAAAGACTAGACAAGTAGGTACTTCGTATATGTATAGACGTAGAAATAGAAAGCCAAGTACAAGAAACGAACTGAAAATAGTCGGTTTCTAATCCTGGAGGAACTCTTGCGTAGATTCTCTCTCTCTCTCTCTCTCTCTATCTCTCCCTCTCGACGTTCCATCGTAAGAATAGAAAAGCTTTTTAAGGCAAAAGTCGATGTATTTAGTAACATTGTTCGATATTGTCTCTTTGACTTTAGATACCTTCATCGTCCTTTAATACTTTTATTACTCACGTCCGTCGGTTTAAGAAGATACAGGGAATGAGAGTTCGGAGCGGATTAGAAAAACGAGCTCATGACGTGATAACGGAATGAGTATAACTCGATATTTTGTTCACGAGCTGAACCACGACACTTTCATTATTTCCAGAAAAACGATTCAATCAGAGTCGTGTTATTTATTCTATAGCAATTTCGTTAATATCGTTCATTATTGTGTGACGATTTGATTAATTGGTAAACTGGAATTCTATGGATTTATGGAGAAATGATCGGAAACAAGTCGAGACAGCTTACAAGGATAGAAAAACTGATCTGCGTTGAGGAGGGAAAACGAGGGAAGCCCGCGTAAAAACCCGTGTCCGATGTTATTTGGTATTCGATGCGCGATCAGTGTTTCATATTTCCCTCGGTGAAATTCTCAGCGTCGTATAGGAAGTTCATGCGAAAGAGGAAGTACATGAATAGCAGACAGTAGATAGCCGAGTTTCAAGTTCGCGCATTTCTTATTCCAACGATCGCCCAGTTTCAGCTTTACCCCGGTCCCTGCTTACGAATTTAAATTTACCACGGCCGCCGCGTTCACGGAGACCGTTCCGTGAAATTCAACCGGGGAGCGGTGCCATTTTTACGTCATATCGCGAAAATGAATCGGGCAGACGAGGGACGGAGACACCGGGTTCGAGGGGCGCGGCAGAATGGAAAAAGGCGAAGCCAGAAACAGGGGCCGAAGGAGGAAGAGGAGGAGGAGAGGGGAGAGTAAAAACTTTGAAAGCTGCAACGCGAGCCGAACGTGTCTGGAAAGAAGACAAAATAGACGAGCAGGGAAAACTGAAGAGCCCGGGGCGGTAAAGAAAAACAAGAGGGAAAGAGGGGAAAAACCACGAACGGCTTGGCGTTCAGTCTACCGAGTGTGTGCCGCTATCGAGAGCTCGATTCGTATTTAGCCCCGGCGCGCTCATTCGTTTCCCGCCAAGAACTCTTCAAAGCCTTTGCGGCTTTCGATTTTCCGGAAATCTACCGACTGATACGAGTACCTACTTTCGGCAAATGAAAACCCTGAGATTTCCGAGGATTCAAAGATCCTTGAAAATCCTCTCGTCGCTCCGTTCGAACACGAAACACAGATGAAGGATCATTTAAACTATATACGATCAATTTTGCGAAATTGACTTCACTGCCTGTCGTAAACTTTCCCTGAAAGTTTCTTAAGAAAAATAACTCTTAAGATATATACTGAAACTTAACAGCCAGAAACGTACTTGATCACAAGCTATATAATTACAGTATCAATTGACTAAATAGAAGATTTGAAGAAACTTTGAGAAAACAGAAATTATTTTCAGAACTCCGAGGAGTTCATGAAATAATTGTCGAAAATTTTAGATAAACGCTGATAAAGGCCGCGAAACGAGCAGTAAAGTAAAAGATAAGACGAAGGCGGTGAGGGAAGGGAAAAGATATAGATAGATAGAAGAGCGAAAAAGCGATAAAAGGAGAAAGAGGGAACGTGCGCGCGTTCCAGTTGGCACGTAAAAATAGTAACCTCGGTTTGGTTTTGCCAATTTAAGAAACTGTTTCGCTCAATCCCATTTCTGGAGCTCTCGACGAGCCTGCGAAATGCTCCGTTCGAACGATCCATCCTTACTTCTGCTCGATTCGCGTGCAGTCAACTCGGTTATGGCAAAGATTCACCGTTGTTACGGCTAATGTCCGGACGACGAATTTGTATGCATTTACATGGATTTAATGTGAGACGCTCCATTCAGAATGCCGGTTATTCAAACGACGTACAAGCAGATAAATCCATCATTATCAAGTTTTGAATCCAGGAAAATCATTGAATGTACTTGGAAAGTAAGATAAAGTATAGAAACATGTCTTGAATGGAAATCAGATTAAACATCAGTTTTTGTACAAAGAAATTCTACTGACGTCCGTAAAATTAAAATATAAAAAAATACCTTTTAATTTACCAGATTAAATCTAATTTCACATCAGAAATTAGTTCCATTTCCTCGTCTATATTTATTTCACATATTTGCATGTTCCTCCGGAGTTAACTCTGCCATTAGAAAATGAATCAGACTTACCCCTTAAGGCATCAGCCGTCGTAGCTAATAGACCCTGCAAACTTCTGCTGTGATGATGAATCAACCCGTGAAAATCTGCCCTGGCTTGATGTCTCAACTGTTCCTCGGTCTCTCGGTTGCAACAGATTCCATTGCACGTCGCTGAAATCAGAATATATGCATCGAGATTAGAGCTATAATTTAGTTCAGCCAATTCATGTTTACATATAATTACATCAGATTTAAAACTATCATATTAATGATACACTCTAGCTCGGTGTAATTATCCCTTATAATGATACAGCACGAAAACGATGTACATAGTTTGATATAATTGAGAATAACCAGATACTATTTACAACTACTTAATATATTTACATGTTCAATAAAAAGAATAGACAAATTGGACAATCATGTTTATTACACTATCATTTCAATGATCTTTATTACAAATTTATTGTATAGAATTATGCTGGTTTGATTTATTGGCTACTAGAAATGTCAATGAACTTCTGTATCCTTTAATGAACACAATTTTTCGCACGTGTTAATGGGTCGAAACATTCAGCTGAGTAAACAGGCACATTATGTTAAAATTAAACATCTGCGAACAATTAATAGGTTTCGCAATGTAATCCTAACGTGCATTTGCGATCATTAATCGAGGCTACGGCTTTTGATACGAAACAGCAAAACCATCTGCTCGTGGCAGGCCCATCCAAGTGCAATTATATTATTAATTACCAGCGATCGTATTTCGTTACGTAAGGTTTTAATGGAAACGTTAGACCGTGAACGCGTCATTATAGACAAATAATTTCTAACAAGTGCTGTTGCCATTTCTACTACATTTTCATAATGATAATAATTGATTGTTCTTCTGCTTTATTAGAAAATATCGTATATGTATTTTTAATTTGATAGAACTTATTGAATTAATGTACTGACAATCCATTTTCGTGTTGTTTTTTAATAGAATTAGTTAATTTTTCTATTTTAAATGATAAATTCCTTTGATCGAAAAGTGAGAAACTATGATCAGTTCATTTTATAGCCAAATTTTCGACGACGTGGGAAGGAGTGTACCGAGTCCTAAACCTGTGCAATTACTGCGCGACGATTGCTCGAATAAAACGCGATAGACTTGAATGCGCGTCTATGTCGCAAGGGGTTGTGAACGAGCAAATAAAACGGGGCTAACGGGATCCTCAAGAGGTCCTGGCTCGTTTCAATAGGTCCTTTTGGCCTCATTCTACTTTTCATCCGGCGCACCTCCTCCGAGGAGCCCGCTGATCGTTCGTCCTTGCTGCAAACGTACGTGCGCCCCATTTTACTTGCTTAACGTGCGCTACTCCTCGAGCATACGATTTTTCTTTCCTGTGCAGCTTGCAAACTCGGTCTCAGTCCCGCATTGCTTATTTCAACCGTACAAAATCTCGGATTAATACATTTATTACACTATCATTTCAATGATCTTTATTACAAATTTATTGTATAGAATTATGCTGGTTTGATTTATTGGCTACTAGAAATGTCAATGAACTTCTGTATCCTTTAATGAACACAATTTTTCGCACGTGTTAATGGGTCGAAACATTCAGCTGAGTAAACAGGCACATTATGTTAAAATTAAACATCTGCGAACAATTAATAGGTTTCGCAATGTAATCCTAACGTGCATTTGCGATCATTAATCGAGGCTACGGCTTTTGATACGAAACAGCAAAACCATCTGCTCGTGGCAGGCCCATCCAAGTGCAATTATATTATTAATTACCAGCGATCGTATTTCGTTACGTAAGGTTTTAATGGAAACGTTAGACCGTGAACGCGTCATTATAGACAAATAATTTCTAACAAGTGCTGTTGCCATTTCTACTACATTTTCATAATGATAATAATTGATTGTTCTTCTGCTTTATTAGAAAATATCGTATATGTATTTTTAATTTGATAGAACTTATTGAATTAATGTACTGACAATCCATTTTCGTGTTGTTTTTTAATAGAATTAGTTAATTTTTCTATTTTAAATGATAAATTCCTTTGATCGAAAAGTGAGAAACTATGATCAGTTCATTTTATAGCCAAATTTTCGACGACGTGGGAAGGAGTGTACCGAGTCCTAAACCTGTGCAATTACTGCGCGACGATTGCTCGAATAAAACGCGATAGACTTGAATGCGCGTCTATGTCGCAAGGGGTTGTGAACGAGCAAATAAAACGGGGCTAACGGGATCCTCAAGAGGTCCTGGCTCGTTTCAATAGGTCCTTTTGGCCTCATTCTACTTTTCATCCGGCGCACCTCCTCCGAGGAGCCCGCTGATCGTTCGTCCTTGCTGCAAACGTACGTGCGCCCCATTTTACTTGCTTAACGTGCGCTACTCCTCGAGCATACGATTTTTCTTTCCTGTGCAGCTTGCAAACTCGGTCTCAGTCCCGCATTGCTTATTTCAACCGTACAAAATCTCGGATTAATACACGTCCCTTATCAACTAAGTAACATTACTTAAAAAAATTTATATAAACATTATAGTGTGTGACTGATTAAAATATACAGCACACCCTTTTTATAAAATTATATTTTTTACAAAAAACTGAAAGTATGATTTCATTCCACTTAACTATGCTTGACAGTTAATAAACTGTGGATGAAAATCGAAAAGCTGAAGATGCTTTCAATAATAGCTAGACGTTCGTGGAATTCAGACAATGAGTTATTGTCCGATTGTTACCGAGAAGAATTGTAGCTGGTCAATTTAAATTCACTCTACAGTGTCCGTGTGTATCGTCGTTATTAGTTATGAAAATGTTGAAATTAATTTCACTGACTTTTTAGTTTTTGAAAAATGTATAACCATAAACATGTTTTAACCGATGTAATACAGAATTATTTATCTCACTGTTCCTCGCAAACTACGAATAATGTATTCCATATTGTTCCATCAATTTATTCGACACAGACAAATCATCAAACAGAACGGATTTCGCTGTATCTTATGAGCATTTCGGTGAGCAAAAATTATGCAATTATTCGTTGAGTAAAACATTCAGAATCAGAACGATGGTATACTCCTCTCGGCGGGACGTTTGTAAGGACAAGTACCAGACGGTACTCTCAATTTAATTTCATTTAGGATCGCTTAAACTGGCTCGGCGGGTGCAACAACCGCCAAAATACCAGAAGCCGGTCGAGCGCACCGTTTATGAAATTAAAAGACCTAATTGTACGCTCGGAATCGCTTTTGCTCACGGTATTAAATAGTCCTGGCTATGAAACCCCGTGCGCGTGCACAAGTTAAAATCGTCTTAACGTCGTTACCAACTACCATCTATGTACATCATAAATCCAAAATTATATTAGACAACAGGTAGACAAACCAATTTTTCAATTAATAATCGTTTTTGCTTTTCATTCTTTTTTGTAGCTTCAAAACATCGGAGTTTATACGACTGAACTTTGTCCTGGGCGAATTACAGAATCAAATGTTCGAAGGAAACGCGAAACGAGTCGAAAACAACGCGGACGACCTATTATTCATCCCTGCTGACAAATCATTCGCGCGCAAACTGAAAACGATAAATTCGTGAGGCGTCCAAAAGGCAACGTCGTCGGACAGAAGCATCGAACAATAGAGGAGGCGGACAATGAATCATGAAAAATTGTAGCCAGGAAAACAGGCGAGGTTTCCCTCTTCGTACCTGAACCTGGTGTTACCTAAGATCGGTCAACGTACTCCGAGCGTCGGATACGAAAAGAAGAGAATAGGAAGAAAGGACATTGGGGCTCGTGTCCTGACAGAGAACTTTACGGTTCCACGGTTTTACATGTAGAATCATTCACAAGTCGAGGGGAACGAAAGCATAGAATACGTAACTAGATTTCGTGAAGAAATAATATGATTCTTCAATATAAAAGTATCATGAGAAAATATAATTCCTGACGAAGACAGTCTGAATATTATGTTTCCAGAAATTGCATAAAAGTATACAACAAATTTATGAAATACCAACTGCGCAGTACTTTTTACATTAACACATTTTTACGAGACAACCGCACATTATCTGCACTTAGCTCATTCTTCATTTTTAAAAGCAACGATATCCTCTACATAATTTTGTACACTCTACTCGTTCTTTATTAGTTCTACAGTCGTGAGAAACAGTGAACTTTATAATCGTTGAAATAATGTTGAGGAGCAAATAATGCGACCACTAGTCTAAACGGGTTTTACCTAATTAAGGTAAATCGACTTGGGAAAAAGACGAGAAACACTACAGAACATCGATTCAACTTTAAGTCGTTCCAAATACGAGTTTCATCGACTACGTAGCTGCCTGTGTACAGGGTGAGTCAATAAGAATGCTACACACAATAACTTGGTGTTTAATAATTTTATTAAAACATATTCATTAAATTATCTCTGTATTTTAACAAATTAAAATATACTTTTTATAGACTTTATAATGGCTTTTCACATTTTTAAGAAAACTGAATATTCGTCATTCAATTTATCATATTAGATATTTCAAATGTTTAATTATGTATAAAAACCCGAAGTCAAATAATGAAATCGACTAGTGGATAATCTGAAACAGTATTATCGACTCACCCTGTGTACATAAATACATGTATCGGCCTGGTTAATGTCTTAGCCAGGAATCCTTGTACCTGTGCGACGAGTTCCACCTTAAATCGTTGAAAAATGGTGAAGGCGCCACACGAATAGAGATAGAAAAAGAGAAGAAAAGGAGAATAAAAGGAGCCGACATGCGAAGATGTCTCTCGAAGGGTTTACGATTTGTCGTCGGGGTGTGGTGCGGCTCATCACGGGACTAAAACGGCTCCGTTCTCACGGGCGGACGCCGTACGCTCTTTTCCAGTTCCTCTTTTTACGGTACATTCGACGTGTACAAAAGCTACCATGCATACGTGTATCTACATAAGCATATAAATTATCCATTTTCCACAGAAGAGCGGTTGAATTTTTTAATCGAAACTGGAAAACATTCGCTAGATAAATTGCAAGCTGTTTTCCAGAGTAAAATTGAATTGAAGTCGTTATCAATTATAATTATCCTTCAATTTCTATACGCAAAAAAATGAGCAAGTGAATATTCTGTAACAGTACTTTGCTAACGACTCCTTTCCTTTGCCTACAGTTATATTTCTTAAATTGTACGAAGAGTCGTTTAAGATTGATAACAGTACATTTCCAATGGTTTTGTATTATTTATTGAAATTAATGAGACAAGTTCGAGCATAGCTGCAGGCATATGAATGCTCATCTGGGATAGCATTCCTAACGGTATTCAAATTGACGCGACTCTATAAAATTAATAGTTATAGTTACGCGTGATGATAAACGAAAAATAAAGTCAGGAATGATAATAATAAATGAAATCATTTTAAAGATGAGCCATATTTTTAATGGAGAATTAATCGATATCTGCTATACGAGCAATAAACTCGAATTTAATAATAAATCTTAATCCTTCTCTAGTTTCGTGGCCCGTCGATGGCACTTAATATCTGATCTATAGGAAAACCGTGTATCGCGCCCACTTTAAAAAGCAAAAGCGCGGAACGGTACTCGTCAAATTGTTCGATACCATCTACGGGTTTATTATTTTGCTCAGCGAACCGCGAACAATGCGCGTCAATCTCGCGTCAATAAGCAGAGGTCGACCACGAAAGAGTAATTGCCCCTATTTTTTTTTTTTTTCAATACCTGCGTGTGTACACGGATTGATTAAGCTTTAAACACGGCCTGGGTGCGAGCCGACAACCGAATAAAAGAGTGAATTATTAACTCGCGAAACGATACATAAACAATAATTATACATGTCACATAATTAAAATGAAAAGCAGATGAAAATTATTTACATTCTTTCCTTTTAGAACGAATAAAGATTTCCTTCGACGTGGCAAGCATCGTGTCTTTCTATGCGAAGAAAACTACGTGATCCTGTAAGCGATTTAACGGTTTGAATTAAGAATATTAGCGTGACGACACTCGAATTGGGTGCCATGCGTGGTACAGCCGATTATCCCTCTCTTAGGTGTGATGTGCGGCACTTGACGCAGGGAAGTGCATAAAACCGGAAGCTGCATCAGCGACCCTTCGGCCCCGATTCGACGAGTGGTTACAGTCGTGTGAAGTGGGTTAGAATACGACGGTCCAGAGAGAGCAATTCGTTCATTCAACCTCCCTAAGTGTGTAAATACATTCCCTTCATAATTAATTATAACAAAGAAAACCATGCCTCTCCAATTTCAGTCGTTTATTCTTACTATTGATCTAATTCATACTTGAATCAACCTCTCCCGAATAAATTTCATATATTTTAGGCAATTTGTATGTATTTTATAAACGCATATATAAATCAGTATAGGATTTCATCCAGAAAGGATGAGGATCCACCGATAGCATAAAGTTTCCTCTTAAATCCCGTGTTAAAGATTAAACAGCTACTTCCGAGTTAAGATTATTCGAGAGAATCTAGATGAATAAATGAACGCCTTTAAACCACTCTACCGCAAACTGCGGTATCGGTCTGGGTTCACCTGGAATACATAATATACGATTGCGGATTACGTGTCGATTATAACCGGAGATTATTAACTATCCAGATCTTTCAAGATAATTGCACTTTTTGCAGATTTGAAATCGGTTTTGCGTCACTGTATACCGTAGCGTTTTTACATATTATATTCCGCAATCTTATAATTACGTATCAAGTCCTCTCGCAATATCTTGACAGAACCTCATTCGACACCTCTTCCATATTCATTGCAACTTTCGGATCCTGGATAATGTCACCGACAATTATGTAGTTATGCTTATCATTTTCATGATGCATTCTTATCTAGCTTTTATCGCGACGTTTACAGCCTAATGTAGTATGCAAACACTCGATCTTTCTTCCAAACGATCCAGGGATTATCATAGTCTACGCCATAAATGTTCTAAGATCAGAGTCATAATGTTTTTCAGGAAATTTCATCAACTATCGGTGTAACATATTTTTTAATAACTATAGTTATCATTAAAATTTCATTTCGTAGCTCGCTGGTCGATGTTGAATTAATTGTTAACATTCTTACGATGTACTAATATAATCATATTGGAACGCGAGCAGCATGAGAATGAGAGTCTAAATTATCAGACCCGACTTATATTCATTCCATTCGATTGAATCGAAATTGAACGGAATTAAAATAACCGTCACGTACCAATAGACAAGGATACATTCATCAGGCGAACTTCCTTAAATAATAATCTTCGATTGTTTCCTATCATCAAATTACAACTAAAAAAATTGCTAAGGCATTAGAAGAAATGACTTGTCAGCTATTAAAAATATCAGAAATTAATTGTTTCCCGTCATTAATAAATTGGCTTTAATTATATGACTAGATATAAACGTTATATGCAGGCTGCAAGTGAATGAGACAAATTCCTTTATGATTCTAAATCATTTATCGAGCCAACGATTGGTAAAAAGATGTCTATCGGTCTCACGACAATTGAAACGGGTTTTTACAAGAAGTCCTCAAGTGCCATTTGATGTAATAACATTAAGTGTCGTTTAATGTAACGACCCTGGAGAACTACTAAATAAAACTTCGTAATTAGAGTAAAGCGGCTGTAATCAAGACTTCCAGTTCATTTCCTCCAACGAAGTGGCAAACCGAATTCTGTTCCGAAATTTTCAAGCCACGAACAAGTGTGGAACATTATCACCAGAAAATTGGCCAACTTCAAACAGAAAACTGTTGATTTGGTACGGTTGAAAGTCAACTTATATCACTGATTTTCTTAAAGCGTACAATTCAAGACTTTTTTTGACATGACAAATTGTAACTATACGAGTTATCAAAGGGCAAGAGTGATGAAACGATTGGATGCTGCGACTTACTTTTGGCGATGTCATCCGCGGCAATCTCCTTAACCGAAATCGTGGTGTTTTTGCTCTGGAAGAACGGCTTGACAAGTTCACAATCGGTTGCGGTAAAGTCGGTCTCGTTCTTCGGATGTTCGGCGAAACGTGGTGAGCGGGATGACACGAGACCGGTGCACCCGCACAACAATATCACGATCGACACAGGCGCGAGAACGGCACGGCGACGGCTCTGGATCATCTTCATTTTTACAGGCGGCGGACAGTGACGAAAAACCGAGAGGGAAATAAAAGGGAAACCCACGCGAAGAAAACTCGTGCGAGCGGGTACCGGCGCGGTGGTTAAGTTCCACGGAAATCGTGCTCGAGAGCGTCGCGAAGAGGAAGAGAGGAAACGAGACGGAGCAACGAGACGATTCAATTCCTCCTCCCCCTCATCCGCGTTCGTCGTCGTCGCGTATTCGGCACGAACGTTCGAAGAGTCGTCAACCGCGGGACGAGACGCGGACGATTTCTGCCCCCTTTTCCTCCTTCTTACGTTCTTTCTTTGAATCGGCCGCGCTCCTGTCAGACAGCACGGCAACGAGCACGGGTGTTACTGCGAGATCTCGATGAGCACGAGACGCGCATTTGGTGCGATGGACGGACGACGGCGATGGTTATATACGCGGCGGTATGTAATCACGACATGCACCGTCGAGACCGCGCGACACCGTGTTACGATTCGCACACATACACACGCGACCACCTCGGGTACACCACAATAATAAGCACACACATGCACGCACGTTTAACCCGCACGCAAGCATGCATGCATGCACCACGCGACGCACGCTCCACGAGTACTTCGATGCGACTGAAGAATCCGGCACTCTGAAGAGACCGAGAGAGTATTCGCAATTCGACCGGACCGGCATTTCCATCCCCACCACTGGTCGCCAACTCCGGATTCGTTCCCTGTCCTTCCTATATGCTCTTCCACCTAACTTGAAATCAAGAACGTTTATCCACCTTACTAAACTTACTTACCTACAAGGACGACGATTTCAATGCTATTTCAAGATGTTACGCGTCGCCACCGACCGTGTTTATCGACTAATCTTTGATCGAGATCGTGACCTTCCCATCCTACAGAAAAAAATAAATCAACGCTCCGTACGATTATAAATTCGAAAGGTTCTACTAAAAAAATTGAATGTTGATAGGGATTGTTAATCACAATTTGAATAATAAAATATTTGAAGCTTGGCTTCGGGACACTATCGCGTCGCTTGATAAATGAAATGATTAAAAATTATAGAATTTTATTAAAACGAAAAGTAAATTTCATATCAGATCATGGTATCACTTACGGCACACGGTTACGATACTTATTAAATAATACAAATTTGATAAAATGCATTCTTTATTTTGTAATTAGTAAAAAACATATAAAAATACCCTCTAACACATGAGGGACTGAAAACAAGCAGTTACGTTGGATCCATTCGAAACTTTATATGAACGTGATTTGCGTTCTTGTTTGATTCACTTGCCACACATTCAATGCCTCGTATTCTTCGATGCAATCATTAACTTCATCAGGTTTAAAGCCTTTAGTAGTGCATCGTTCCAATATATCTGAAACTTTAACAGTTTTCCTATCGCCCGCCAATTCCCTAATGAGTCGGAAAACTCGGCTTATCGGATCTTGGTGAACATTCGGCGCTAACGTTTCAGAATAATTGATCGAATGCTTCGACATCTCTATCAACCTGTTCGCTTCGGCAACGTCTTCTTTATCCACGACATCCGATAATCGTAAACGTGCTAATGCAGTTGACAAACGTAACAATGCTAGAAGATTACGAGCAGATGTAAACGTTTTGTCATGGCTATTACGAGCCACTCTTCTCATTTCCACATAAGATTCTGAAAGTAGTCATTAATTTATACGTGTATGTATATCATTAAAATTGTAATATTAAAAACATTGGATGAAACTCTTACCGACTATGTAATCAGTCAATTCCTCTGGTATCGTAGGATTCTTCGTTTTGCATATAGTAATATACCTTCTAATTAAATTCATATCCAAAACTTCGGATTCCGTGGGTGGCTGTATACAATGTTGATGAACGTACGTAATATGTTGTGCCATTCTAAAATGCATATTATTAGATATAATATAAAAATATCGACGCCGATGATTGATACTAACTTTAAGTCATGGCTACGATCCGCTCGATCTTGAATTAGCCATAGTAAATCAAACCGCGATAATAGAGCAGCAGGCAACTGAATATTTTGCTCGATCGTCCTCTTTGGGTTGTATCTGCCGTAAGCAGGGTTCGCCGCGGCTAATATCGAGACTCTTGCATTTAAGCGAGTCGTTATTCCAGCTTTAGCAATCGATATAGTTTGCTGCTCCATCACCTCATGAATAGCGGTTCGATCCGCGTCTGCCATTTTATCGAATTCGTCGATGCAACAAACACCTTCGTCAGCTAATACCAAAGCTCCTCCCTCGAGCATCATCTGACCGGTTAAATTGTCTTTCATAACTGAGGCTGTCAACCCGACACCAGATGATCCTCTACCAGTCGTGTACTGAGATCGAGGAGCCAGTCTTGTTATAAACGAAAGTAGCTGAGACTTGGCAACTCCGGGATCGCCCATTAAACAAATATTAATGTTACCTATAAAACACAATACATCATCACTAAAAGCATGTAACATTATAATTATAAGAATGTACGTATAAACGCAAACCTCTGATCTTAATATCTTCTCTTTGCTTATCTGTGCCACCGACCAGTAGCAATAATAGTGCTTTTTTAACGTCTTCTAGCCCATAGATTTCAGGAGCGATGGAACGAGCTAATCTGTCGTAAAAGTCATCCGCCGACAACAGACCCAATTCCTCCTGCGTTAATTCAGCACTAGTATCTTCGATAGTTTGCGAATTAGTTAAGCATACGATTTTCTGCATTACAAACAAAAATATATGATGTTTAATCACCAGAATTAAATGTATATTGTTATGAGATAAATAAAACGATTCCGTACATGTGCGTCCAAATATGTTTCGTTGAGAAGTGCAGCACCCCCTCGAGCCATAAACCCTGATTTCATAATCGGCAGGAAGATACCCGTAATAAGTATATGATCTCCGGGTAAACATTTTCTTGTCGTTTCACCCCTGCAGTATATCGTCAATGTTCGTGGTATATGACCCACTGGTACTTGATCACTCTGAAATAATTATAATTTACTAGAACTGTACAAAAAATACATGGATCTAAGAGAACTTACATGTTCTTGTATTTTGATTTCTTGAAATTTCACGAATTTCGATCCTCTCGTTTGCATGTCTAACACGCCGCCAGACTTGTTTATTCGACAATCTTCGCTAGGACATTGCCGCAACGGCATATATTTGAGAGATTGAACCTAAAAAGTTTGTATAATATTCAATTTTCATTGTATCTTGTAATTTGACAATACCATTAGTCCCTTACTGGCTGAAATGTTTCGGCACCGCATTGATCGCATGTATAGGTAGCCACAACGAGCAGAGGCATTACATCGCTACATTTTGTCACGATACCTCTCACCGTAACTAATTTTCCAATTTTCTCAGCTTTTATATCTCTTACTGAATACGCTTTAACAGCGTCAAAGTCTTTGAAATACACTTCACTGGAAAGTGAACGAGAACTTGTATTACATCAAATATGCATATTTATAAATAAAGAAAGAAGAATCAATGGTACAAGCGTCTCATGAGTTCTGGACAATATTTATTTCTCGGATCACGCTGTTCTCCAAGGTTCCTGTTACGGCTTTCCATCAGCAATCTATGTTCAATGTACACATCCAAAGCATCCTTTGGTGGCACAGGCCTTTCTTTAAAGTCAGGTAGCATTTCTTGAATCAGCTGTGTAATATAACACATGTGTGAATATTACATTGAATACAAATTAAATATAATATCAAGGGATACATATACGTATATTCATACATGATGTAGATGTAAACTTACTTCTAAAAGCAAATTGACGTATCTCCTAGTATTATTTGCAATAGATATTGCTAATTCATCATCAAATTCATTTATATCATCCAAATCTATTGTCAGAGCTATTTGCTCACGATGAGCAATATTGGTGAGTTGCTTTCTATACTTAAACGTTTTAGAACCGCTTTCCTCATTTACTACGACATACTCTGTCAAAAACGTTTTCAATTGTTCTGAAATAGAGAATATAAAAATAAGAAAATATGTTGTAAACAAATAATGACGGTAAAAATCTGTGTGGTTAAATAAGATTGATTGTGGCGCAAATACTTACCTTTGGCTTTCGTATAATCTTTCAATATCTTCGGTGCCATTTCTTCAAATTTATTTTTATGGTGTTTCCCAAATATAACTTACGTTCGAAGCTTATTTCTGTAAATTAAGCATTCGAAATGAAACGTATTCTATATTATCCTTCCAGGACTGTTCTTCCCGCCCAAACTGAACCGGATGTTTATTACAATCTTTAAAACTTGCCTTAAACTCCCGAGAAATCGCAGTGACGGAAACTACAGTTGTCATGGAAACTGGCGACTCTTGTAAACCGGGCTTTTATTGACCCTCTCCCATTTTTATCGTCTTTTGTTTAAATACTTGGCGGGGTCCTCTTTCTTGCCTGATTCGCAAAACAGAACAGACACATTTATTGAAGGTAAGATAATTTATAATAAAGGCACACATTATTAATAGACAAGAGTCGATTTATTGTAACTTGAGATCAATTATTGTTGACGCACTATAATTGGGTGAAAATCACAGTTTCTCTCTCTCTCTCTCTCTACAACGAAATATATATTTCTGGATGCGCGTCGCTTTATATTTCGGTATCGACCGATTTTCCTAAAATTTTCAGCGCATATTTCATCAACATGAATCTTAAAAATATGTTATTTAACAGGAATTACCGAAAATAATAAAAATATCGATATTTTCATCACGAGTCCGTAGGCTACTAAGCGATTTTCATTTTTTCCTTGTGCTAAGTTTTGCAACTTCCATTTTTTTTTTGCTCTTTCGATTGTTGCAACCTTCAATATTTTTTCTCACTGCTCTTACGAAATTCAATCTACTTCGAAAGATATATTCGAATAAAAATTTTGTGAGAACTTAAGAGCTATTAATTGCTATACATAACTACATGAAGTCAGGTTCTCATGCTTCCGCATTTTTGACATTGGTCATGGCTTAAATATACATGTTCACAGTCACAAAGAAGTAAGTGTCCGTGTCTATGAGATAGTGTGTTTATATACATAATGTCACATGTTTCGCTCTTAATTTTATGAAATTTAAAAGAATAGAAAAATGGGAAAGGCGAAGAAGATAAAACCCAGCGAAACGCAGAGGCCGAGAGTGCCTCTAGCTGACCAACTAGAAGAGACAGTCACTGTAAAATATAAAGTTCAGTATCCTGGTATCAGATACTACCATGAGGATGATGAAAAGGTTAGATATATTCTTTCTTATGAAGTATACAAAATTCTTTCTGAATCGTTACTGCGTTGTACTTAAATCGTAATTTATGTGAATAGTGTTAATTTTGTAGTTAACACGTTTTATGTCACATTGTAAACGTTATTTATGTAATTTGGTGTTAATTTGAAATTGCAGTTCATCGATCCGCCGATTACAAAAAAGATTCTACGTCAAGCCAGGCGACAACAGATTGAAATTGAGGAAGAGAATGCAATTGGTCAACCATCGGGATCAAGGGGAAGATCAATAGTAAATCTTGGTGGCAATTCAGATTCCAGCGAGACAGATGACGAGTTCAGCGACGAAGAAGAATACTCTCAACATTTCGAAAATCTTGAAGTATACAAAAGTGATGAAGTTACTTTGCTGTCGTTTATGAATACAGATGCTGCGCCTGCGAAAACGTTAGCTGACATAATAACAGAGAAATTGGCGGAGAAGAAAACTGAAATTGAGTCTCAATTATCAGACGCGGATCCTATTCGCGTTGAACAGTTAAACCCTAGAGTGACTGCTATGTACGAGGGCGTTCGAGACGTTCTGATGAAATATCGTAGTGGTAAACTGCCGAAGGCGTTTAAAATGGTGCCCAGTTTGATAAACTGGGAACAAATATTGTACATAACTGATCCGCCGAAGTGGACAGCAGCGGCCATGTACCAAGCGACAAGAATATTTGCATCGAATTTAAAGGAAAAGATGGCACAACGGTTTTTCAACCTCATATTGTTGCCAAGAATTAGAGACGACTTAGCAGAGTACAAAAAACTCAACTTTCATCTGTACCAAGCAATACGTAAAGCTTTATATAAACCAGGTGGTTTTATGAAAGGATTTTTAATACCACTTTTAGAATCGGGAACATGCACATTAAGAGAAGCTGTTATTGTTGGTTCCGTGCTTGCAAAGAATTCAATACCTGTTTTACATTCTTCTGCAGCGATACTGAAGATCGCCGAAATGGAATATAGTGGACCTAACAGCATTTTCCTTAGAATATTTTTAGACAAAAAATATGCCCTGCCATATAGAGTACTAGATGCAGTGGTCTTCCATTATCTGAGGTAAGAATTCTCTTTTAAGGCAAATCTGAAAACTATACTCGAGCTTTAAAACTGATGTTTCGTTGCAGATTTGAAAATGAATCTAGACAACTGCCAGTTTTGTGGCATCAATCTTTATTAACTTTTGTACAACGTTACAAATGTGATATTAGCTACGAGCAGAGAGAAGCTTTATTGAACTTATTAAGGACTCACTCTCATCGATCGATCACGCCTGCTATCAGACGAGAACTACTGTATGCTCTATCCAGAGACGTGGAAGATGCACAACTCAATCCGGAACCGATGTCCAATGACTAATACTGTTTATTTCGTTCATTTGCTTTTTCACTTGATTAATCCTCAAATCTGTTAAATTGAACATTATCTTCTTAATATGTATTTAATGTTTTATTAACTTTGTTTAAAACATGACACTCATAAATTTCTAAATGTTTGTACAAATTTAATTCTGTAGTAAATAAGCACATTGATAAAACCTGTTGTTAAAAAGGATTGAAATATAAAAATACAATTGTATATTATTTATACCTTCCAGTATATTTTTATTAGGGTATAAATTTATTTCCGATTCACAAAATGTTAGAATTGAATTTATGTGTATTATAAGTAATATTTGAGATTTAAAAAGTTCGGGTATATGTTCTTCAGATCCTTGATTTTGAAATCTACTTTTTCTTAAAGAAGTTGGTTATACTCTTGGACCCAGCTGCCGCTTTTTGCTTCGCTAATTCCTTTTTACCGGGTTTCTGGGGCTATATAATCATACGTATATGTTATAATAATACATACAATAATTATAAAATGATCGCATGAAAAAGTAACTACCTTTCCTAATTTAGTTGATTCGGGTGTCTTTGGCTTCAATGCTGATTCATTTTCAATGGGAACTTTAAAATGTTTAAAACTTTCACCAAGATCTAATATATCAGATTCTTTTGTTGCGTCCTTCTTAGATCTCTTTTCATCGGTGCTATCAGTCGGACTACTTAACTTCCGTTTTTTACTTTCAGTTTCATCTGACAAATTTAGGTATTGTGCTAATTTTTCTGATAAATCCTCTTGAAGATACTCTGATATAATCCCATGCGCATATTTTATGTACTCTACAGGGAGAGCAAGAGTATTAAATATATTTTCTAATCTTTTACGTAAAGGAGTATTCTTTCAATTTAATTTCTTACCCACTTCCAAAACGTTTTCTTGTTTATTACTTTTCACATAAGATGCGCTAATAGCACCTTGCGACACATGAATACCTTTCTGTTTCAACACTTCAGCTACTCTTTCCACTTTCTTCTTCAACCAAATCAACGTCTTTTCTTCATTATATTTGTATGCTTGCAAAGATTCGTCACCCTTCCGGTCAGCTACCAATGTTAACTTCAAGTTCTGGCATTGAATAAGACGGGATATTTCTGGGAAATCTTGATCCCATAGACATTGCTCTATCGGTTGCGCTTGTTGTACCTATAAATGCAATATTAATGTTCACTTGAATGAATGAAATGTATCAATTGAAGATCACATACTTTTCTCAAATAAGGTAATATTAAAAATATTGGATCAAAGGGAGTAGATAAATGTAGTTTCCCATCAGATTTCACATTATCGTCTATAAACCAGGATCTTTTATTTTCCTCGAACGTTAAAACCTCTTGTATGGTCAAGTTGCCTGGACTAAATACGAACATTGCAGGCCGATTTGTGCCAGGATGCCTTAACTTAATAACATCAGGGATGCCTCCTCCATCTGAGTTATCCAAACTATCACCTTAAACATATATTGTTAGAAAATAATATAGCATTTAGGGATGCATAAATGGTAAAGAATTATTAGGGAACATATTTTTCCAAGCTTACATTATATCAAACATATAATGCAGAGATTTCAAAGATAAAAGATAATTTTTATTCATTTACCTTTCATCAGGAAAACCCATGTGTTCGTTCCTTGATGGGAATTAGTCGTCTTGACGCACTTCGTCGGTGATGCTTTGGTTCGCGGCATATTTACCCGCGTTTGACACGAATCACGTTAGGTTATTTATTCCTTTCACACAATTTTCACCGTGTATTAATACATATATGCGTGTACGTATACACGAATTTAGCGATCAGCCATTTTTCGTAAAGAAATCAAATTTCAACGTCTTTTTAATCGATAATTGGAATATATTATATCGCGTGTCCCTTTTCATAGGTGATAAGTACGTTAAACGTGACATGCCGCCAATGTTGTAGGAGACAGCATTTGAAATCTCGATGTGTACTCGAACGTCAATCGATGATCGGATGAGGAACAAGCAGAAAAGGCGTTACCGCGGCCTAAGCCATTTTTCCCCTTTTTGTTATAAAAAGAAACAAACGTATAGTATACCCAAGTTTTACTCTACCTAGTGTGAGAGATTTAAACTATACCTACACCTATATATAATTCTTATTTTTGTACATATTTGTATAAAAGCGTTTATATTTTATAAAGTGAAATTTCATATTTCTGCTTTCGATATGAATATTCGTCATTTTCTATTTTTTCTTTTAATAGAAGACTGATAAAGTATTATATCATGTGCAACAATAAATGCAATAGATACTGCATAAATACTGAATAGATACCATACAGAGCATGATTAATTCAAGACATTCTTTGAATCTTAAATTCGTAAAGATGAGTAAGTGGGCTGGACGGCACGATTCCGTCATTGAAAGTAGCATTGTGTAACAGTCGTGGCCTTTTTTTTCTTATTCATTACTCATGATCACGCTATGTAGTAGTGGTAGTAGTCCGTAGCCCGTGTGTATTAGCACAGTGTATAGATGTAACTCATGTAGCACTCACATTAACGCTTGCGCGGGAGTAATTTAATCCTCGTTCCTATGAGTGAGTTACTGAAGATCCCGACATGAAAATCCTTCAAGTTCGAACCTTAGAAATTATGATATAAGATGTATATACGTCAGTGACGAGAAACGTGTAATTTGAGTAAACACTTGCCGGCACACAACGACAACGTTAATAGTTAAGTAGGCAATTGTTTTAAAGTATGACGAGAAAAATTTATTTCATTGCTTTCTTTACAAATTCTTTTAATTAATAAGTTTTGCAAACAATATAAAGACTTCGAGTACCTGTGTAAGTTCTCCTCGAGTATCTGAACAAAAGACACGACTTTTTATTGTTAGAGTCGTTGCAGAAAGCCCGTGCAGGATATACATATACCTGCATGATAGTTACAATATTAATAAATCCTTTCGTTGAACAAATGAAATGGCAACCTGTTGCCATTCCGTTTTCCATCAACTCGTGAACGATGATAATTACAAAGAATCCAACGCTGCATCAGATTCATTGGATAGTGATTGTGAATCAGAGATGCTAGAATATGAACCATATGAACCAGATGAATTCGACCTGGACCTACCCAATGAGCCGAATGAAGAAACGGGTTCAGAAGACATTACCGTTTCAGGCCGTACTTGGAAATCTAATCCACCCTCCAATCGTGAATCTCCACCCAAATCTCTGGGTTGGTCGCTAACTGCAAAGAGCGAGTCAGTACAGACAATTGGTGAATGCTTCCACTTATTTATCAATGAAGAAATTATTGACAATATTATATTATATACTAATAAAAAGGCTGAACAAAGTATGAGAGAAAATAGAACTTGGAAAAAGTTGGATCGGGTAGAAATTGATGCGTTCTTTGGACTTTTGCTGTTGATGGGACGATTTGGAGAATTCCGTGAGTCCGAGCAAGATTTGTGGAAACAAGATACTGGACTATCTCGACCACATTACATCGCAACGATGTCACGCGATCGTTTTATAAATATATTGAAATACATCCGTTTCGATGATTCTACGACACGTGAAGAAAGGAGGAAGCACGACAAATTAGCAGCGCTGAGAGAAGTCACGAACATTTTTACTCAAAACTGTAAAGACTGTTATAATGCAACAAGCGTCGGATGCGTCGACTCACAGGTGGTCAAATTTCACGATCGTTGCAGCTTCAAAGTTTGTATGCAGGACAAAATGGGTATTAAAATTTGGACCCTTTGTGACTCGAACACCTTTTACTGCTGTAACATGGACGTTTATTTAGGAAAAATGGAAAACGAAACGGAGAAACAACAAGGGAGACGTGTTGTTAAACGCTTATCAGAGATCTGGAAGGATTCTAATCGCTGCATCGCGACTAATAATTTCCTCACGGACATCGAGCTCGCAGAAGAACTTGTAGAAGATAAAATTTTTATGATCGGAGCCTTACGGAAAAGCCAACAGGATTTACCCAAAATACTTGGATACACTAAAAATCGGTCGAAACATTCATCGGAGTTCCTATACACGGAAAACGTGGCATTATTATCCTACATACCAGAAACAATGAAACGTGTTGTTTTGTTATCCTCGTTACACGGCGGACAGAAGAAATTGGCAGCGTCAGAAATGCTGAACTGTTACAAAAATGCGAAAGGAGGTGTAGATAAACTTGCTACACTGCTGCAGGATTATTCCTGTAGAAGAGCTACTTCCCGTTGGACATTAGCGTTATTTATGCACTTCTTAGATATCGCGGCATACAACGCGTTTGTCATATGGCAAACGAAAAATCCAAATTGGAAACCTAAGACTTCGTTAAAAATAAAACGAAAATTGTTCATCGAAAAGTTAGCAGAGTCTTTGACTTTGAAAAACATAAACAGCCGAGCAACAGAATTTGAACATTGTCGTGTATTCCTTCACAAGCATATTATAAATGCGATAGAGGCAACCGGACGAACTGTCATAAAGAAGACGAATACCACTGGTCAAAAGCGTTCTAGGTGTTACATATGTATAGGAAACAATAACAAATATAATACTAAGTGCGAGAATTGCGACAGGCACATTTGCAGTCTTCACTCTCTTCAAAACCGTATGATCGTATGTAATAACTGTTGTATAACGACTGTGCTCAGCTAATACATGTTAGGGGCAAGTCGTTTTTAAGGACGATTGCACACGTCGAGATCAACACGTAAGGAATGGGCAGCGTAGTTTTTGTTTGAAACATTGCATTTATCAAAGGAGGGATACATTGTAAATAGAAATATCTGTGGTCCACGATTGCCGGCGAAAGCGCGGAGAGTTCTAGCGAGTTCGAGCAATACTATGTTGCACATTGGAGGGATTCGTGTCGCGGCTCGAAGTCATGGTGCCATTCAACACATTGTATTATAATACAAAAAATTCTAAGCGTCTGGCCACAGAGTGGTGAAGAAAACAAGACCTTCTGGTAAGAGGACTGTGAAAAACAGCACGGCATTTACCCCAGACATTCCGAGGAGTACGAATCGATCTAAATTTCTAACATACATGTAATCATTTATTTCGATAAATTTTTAGCACTTCGGTGTGGGTCTAAAGTGAGCTAGTCATTGTTCATATCTTTTATAATTATATTTGTGTATAAATACAATAACTTACATATAATAAAATGATATATTTGCTTTCCTTAACAGTACGACATTCAGCCCTTGAAAAATATCAAAACACATTCATTCAGTCCACCTGTGGCAACAGTGTTGGTTAGTACAGACATAATACAGTCTCATTTCCTCCTCTGCTCTTCGAGTTTGAGCTTGGAAGAACACTGCTTCTCTGTGATTGCACTTAGGGCATGGATGTTCTTCCGTTCTTGGTAAAGTAGGGTCAGATATAACATCCGCGACAATATGTGTCAATTCGCTGAAACAAAATTCATGTTCAATTTGATGGGAAACAAGTGAGTAAAACTTGTTGATTTTACTTACTCTATTTCGTGCATAATTTTGTTCACGTAAATGCAATTGCTGTCGGCCAACTGTTTGAAATCACAGTTCCTGCACTGAAAACAATGTCCGAGTATGATAATTATAACTTAGAATAATGAGACACGTTTTGTATTTGACACTTACAGCGTACATCAACACTTTGTTCTCCTTGTCTTCTTTGGGATATAACATGTTATTGCATTCTTGACAGAACCTAATGCCAACAAATCCTGGCCCGTCATCATGTGTGTCGTACCCGGTTATTTTAGACATATTTCCCGCGCGTTTTGGCTTTTCCGAAGGTCGTTCAAACTGGAATCCACGCGTACATACATGCGGATGCTAGCTGCGTTTGTGAACAAAGATGAAGCTTCTCTCGGCTGAACAGAACAGCAGGTTGCTCATGAAATACAACATTTATATAGAAGCGAACATGGTTAGAAGAAAAACAGGCCCAGTACTCTTCAGGTTCTTGCACAGCATACTTTAATACCTAGTCATGCTGAAAATAAAATGGCAACACCGTAAGAGTCCAGTTTTCATGTTCTGTCTCTGTCTATCTCTATCTCTGTACTTCTAACGTTTACCCTCCAAGGAAAATACATACACATAAAATTCAAAAAGAAATAATGAAATATATGCAATAAATAAGGGAAGATTCATTCATTCTTCTACTTGTTGCTTGATCTCACCATAATTCTTTTTTTCTTTTATGCAAGCAGAATATTGGAATCATACTTTATTGTTTTCAGGTACTCGATTTAATTCCACAACTCTTTCTGTTATTATGTAATTATACAAAATCTTTCTCACATATCCACATAATATCTTTGGCTTCACACCATTAATACTGCTTGCTTGAGTATTTTATTCATTTATAATTCATTCAGTGCGTTTCTAAACGTTTCTATTTAATTCACAGATTGTTTTATTACCCTTCACATTTATATTTTCTAGAAAGGATCGTAAATATTTCAAATACAATCAATCACACCAAAAAACTGTTTCGAGAGTCCACAAAATGTATAACATATTTATAAACATCAGAGACGCTTGTATCATTTTTACTTGCTATATTTATGATCTTTACATATTTGTTATATATAATTGATAACAAATACTGCAAATTAATATAATTATATATTAAAAAAACGTTAATTGTAATCGTGAGTACAGTTCTGTCATTTTTGAAAATAGGACTCCCGATTCCACTATTAACAGTGGTGCCAAGTCGCTCTGCAAGGCTACTGGCTAGTATTACAATCAGCTGTGGTTTTTGTTAAGAATCTTGTGAGTCGTGAGTCGTAGAAAATACATCGGTAGTCATTTGACAATTTGGATGAAGTACGTATAGAAGTGATGTTCTAACAATAATTAAAATTAACGATTTTCGTGGAGTGAACGTTGAATTGTTCAAATAAGTGTCCAATAGGACGTGGCGCTAGCTAGCATTGTCGGTTCTGATTGGATTGAATGTATACGTGTATTAGTGTTCAAGATTTCAGATATATATGCGTGCGGAATGCGGAGGAATGAGAGAAATCCGAATGGCGGCTCGAGGAGTCGGGGAGTTTAACGTTCGTAAGAGTTTTCAGGAAAGGCAAGCGACGGATCCGGACGAAGAGAGGTGCGCTAGTGTTCCACTAAGCTACCCCCAGCCTTGCTACCCCCACCCTTCCGTTCGAGCTCCCCTAGCTAGTGCAAATCTCGGCGGATGAATGTTTTCTTAAGGGATTCTTCCCGAAAGCGACGCGAAAATCTGAGAGGAGTCGTCTGAGCTGAGGAATCTGTAAGTAAAGCCGTTTGTGACGAAATTTCTATCGTATTTCCCGATCCGTAACCGTGCAATCGATCAAGCATCGCGTCGTAAACTAAAAAGAACGAGCAAACTTGTGTTCAAGGCGTTCCTGGGGGGTGATGGCACTCACGCCGACAGCGTCTCCCACAAAGATTTCACCATTTTTATATTGACAAAAAAATCGTCCGCTTTTCCGTGTGCATTCGATATTTTTTTGGTTAACCTGTCGGCTAGTACGCTTTGAGCACGTGATTACGATAAACGCCGCGTAACTAAACTCTGTATTTAAATTTTATTTTACCAAGGAATTCGTTTAATCGCCACCGACGGTACATTTGTTTTGTTACACGTTCGCTCTCGGGCTCGAGCCATGGATTTTCTTTAAAGGTTTCTCTCGCGATCGTCCCGTTCCCTGCGTCCTTTGTGCCGACATCGGGCTAACTAACGATAAGTTAAGTAGTATAATTAAACCTTCCTGATTTTCATATTCGACCGTAGGTTCGCTTACGCACATTGCATATTTCATACTTCTCGTTCACGTCGCGTATTTATATACCTACAGTGATTGAAGTCGAACGTGCTCGCCTATATAACTGATAATAAATTTTCGTTGTCTATATATACAGCCATATTGTTCATACCTTTAAACAAATTCGTCTACTATTCAGTCTGCACGGTAATTGTTATCTGTCTCACTCTCTCCCTCCCTCTACTCTCTTTGTCGCTTTATTTACTCCTTGAGCAATAATAATAATGTTGTTATTGGATCAAAGTTCTGAAGAGAGAATTATCCATAATAGTTTTGATACATTCCTCATGGTTCTACGTATATCAGTGTACACTTATGCAGAGCCTTTGTTTATCTTACTTCAAACCTGAAAATAACTTCTTCTATTCATAATTTTCATTGAAATACTTGGAACTGATGATTAAACACGTGAATAATAGGTAGAGTTATTTGGTCGAGGACAATTAAAATAGAATTTAGTAGAAATAACGAAATCTTTTAATTTTCATTGCTAATTGTGGACGTTGCCGTTCAATATTAGATTACTTTTAGTATTATCATCACGGAATGTGTAACATAGGGTTGTGTTTCTTCTGTACTAACAGGAAAATCGTTTGAAAGCTGTACGACAATGGAGAGCGGAAGCAACCAGCATTCCCCGGGTAATTACCCGGGCGGCGATCGCCAACAGTTTTGCGTTTCATGGAACTCTCATCAGTCGAACATGCACAGTGCATTTCCGAAACTGTTAAGCTCCGAGCAATTCGTCGACGTCACCCTGGCCTGCGATGGCGGTTCTATAAAGTGTCACAAGGTGGTACTCTCCGCCTGCAGCGATTACTTGGAGCGATTGTTATTGGACATACCGTGTACCCATCCTATTATATTTTTACGGGACATGAGAATGTGGGAACTCCAAGCTTTGGTAGAGTTCATGTACCGTGGCGAGGTTTATGTGGAGCAACAACAACTGGCTAAATTGATGCAGGCTGCCGAGGTTTTACAGGTAGATAAACGTTGGACAAATGCTTGTGCTTTTGGTATTTCATTCGACTTTGCTCATAACGTTGATGCGTTGATAGGTTCGTGGCTTGTCTACCCAAGGAAACGAAAACAATTCGAGAGAAGCTAACTCACAATCATGCGATTCAAATGCTTCTGCTACTCCGTCGACAACCGCGCAGCAAGATGGATCCGACTTTAAGATGGACGATGCAACATCCGAAGACGGTGCTTCGAATTCAAACTTCTTGGAATCCACACAGATCGGTTCGTCCAACACTCAAGCGAGCGCCTCGTCGCATACCAGTACACCGTCTCAGCGTGCCAGTAGCGATAATCAGAATTACGTGAACATGGATCACGGCGAAGCATTGCAGCATTTGGAGAGAGCCCTCAGCTCTTGCGAGGCGACGTTAACAGAGGCACCTGGCATGGTGAAAATGGAGCCTGACGAGCAGTTTACTCAACAGCAAGAAAAACCGTACTCCATTAGTATGGTGCCGAGCAGCAACTGTAATCCTAGTAGCCCGTTCCCTGCGATCGAAGGTAAGTAACAGCATAACAAGTTGAAAAGATATGCAAGAACAGTAAAGTCGCGTTAAATGCGAAAATTTCGGGTCTGAATTTTTGACATTAAGAGAAGACACAATTTTTGTCTTTGCTCTTCAAATGTGTAGAATAGGAGCGAATGAAAAACGAAACGAAGCGCGTTCGGTCGTGGAGGCATCCCTTGTTAGAGAGTTCGAGCTTGAACTGACTTTTTTTGTTTTGGGGTTTTAGTAGTGGAGACGTGGTAGACACCAAGCGAAAATTCGTGTTGTCATTATGCCAGAAGGTCAAGGATTTAGTAAGAATTATCGAGGTGTAGAAAAGCAAGAATGAGGTTTCATTAGGGCTTTTTATGGAATTCCTGGTACATCATTCAAAGGGCCTACGTGCGCCTAGGTGCGTAAGTCCCGAAAAGGGTTGTCGAATAAGGCCGCGTTTTATGGACCATCGGTTGCCTTTTTATGAGTACCTCTCGGTTGCCTTTTTATGACCTGAAAGATGTAAGAGATACCGGGTACCATTTACATTGCATACAAAGTATTTTTCCTATCATCGTAAATGAAGGAGATATTCAGATAGACCACCCTGTATTTATATGCACAATATGGAAATCTAAAATTGATATCTATAAATCCATAAAAATCAGAGAATAAAATACATAGAAAAATATATAATACATATGAACTTTCCTTTTTCAGTTTACATAAATTTCGATATTTCTTTATCTCTTTCTTTTTTATTATACTATATATTATTTGTGTATCTCAATTTTTTCACTCAAACCAGAATTATCCGCACTATTTTAGTACTGGAGATTGATATTACATTTTCATCAGAATGGAAAGAAGTGTAGAGTGAAGTTCTGTAAAAATTCATAAATGCGCTCAGAATTCACCGATATGAGTGCCATTGAATTACGCTGTAAAAAAATGTCAGTGCAATAAAATCTGCATTTATTTAATTTCGTTCACGAATGCGAAATAACGATTGCGAATTTCGGACTGCGCCAAAACCGTGTTTGTTCATCGAATGCTGTACAAAAGTTGCATGCTAGCTTCAGAAAAACATCACGAGTACGTTAGAAAAAATTGCATAAGAAAAAAAAACGAAAATAAAAAGTTTGTTAAATTAGTTTTAACTCACATGTGCATTATCTGTGAATCGGATTGCATTACGCGACAATTGCACTACCGAGCTCGAGCGTAACCAGACGAAGTAGGAATAAAAATGTCGCATTTGACGTAAAACTCTTTTTCGTATTTAACGCGACTTTACTGTAATTAGCAAAATCTGATAAAAATGAATTAAGGTGGGGAAAACGTGGAAAACGAGAATGTATTGTTGTTTGATTATTACATCAATAGTTATTGATAATTCGCAGGTTATCAGAGACGGCAGAGACGTTCGGAAGAAGAACTGAAACAAGCTTCGGACATGGTAGCACGCGGTATGACGTTTCAAGTTGCTTCGGAAAAGTACAAAATTCCGATAAGTACGATCCGATTCTATATGGTTAGAAAAGGTATATTGCAGAGGCGAAAGCGCGGCCGTGGTTCGAGCAACCTCGGCGTTAATAGCCAACCGGGAAGTCCTGCCAGTCCGCCATATCATATGATGAACTATCGTTTGCCAGAGGGCCTAAACTCCAGCCTACCGTAGTGCTGTAAAAAAAGTAGCGGGTTTTTAGACTTCAGTTGAATCGAACAAATTTTTTATTGCCACGTCGAAGCTGTTCCAGACTCTCTCATTCTTCCCATTTATTATTGACTCACACTGAGTTATCTTACCGTTTCTCGTTTAATCATTCACCAACGACCATTCATACAAATCACATGCACATGCATACGTACACACACACACACACACACACGCGCGTACGTGTCGCGACTGCGTTTTCGCCCAACCGCCCAATCGTTATATACTACACACCATTTATTGCATTTACGAGGTATATAGTAATTTAATAGAAAATAGTTGACAGCGTGTACGTATCGTACACGATAGGCACGATTTTAGTCTCGAACAGCTCGGTTCCGTGTACATAACTGGTACGTGCGAGCTTCCGAGCACCGCATCCGAACTTCCGCTATACGGAAACTTAGTACGAGATCTGTAGTTATGACACGGAAATTGAAATGTCTTGTTGGCAACCGAACGATTACGGACTTTGTCAATAGACTTCTTTATTTGAAGTCCGCATTCAGTTATGCAGTTGCCAACCGAATAATTTCAATAATATGTCATTCATTATATTCGTACGTTTGAGATTACGTCGTTTTCGGAAGTTACTGTAGCATCCTGCTTTTTTCTCCGTTTTTTATCTTTTTTTTATTTACGAGGAATTAGGATAGAGGATGCGGCGCGCGGAGGTTGCCGCGCGGTCCGTTCAGTACGGTTCAATTTTTGGGCCGTGTTACGTTCTTCTACTCAGTGACACATACAATTTGCGTACGTGGATAGCGTAAGAGGTATTTTTTTGAGTCCTATACACAGATTGATACAGCAGATTTACAAAAAATCATGGAAAACGCGATTTATTCGGGGAAGTTTGAACGTGTTACGCGGAATCATATTTTTACGATTGCTCGAGAATCTTTTTGATAATACGTATCCGTAGAGTGTAGGTTTTCTTTTTTTTTTATTACGTCCCGCTTATACATGTATACGTACATATGTGTACATACGCACGAGGTACACGCGTGCATGCGTACATAGGTGTGCGCGAGCGCGTGTGGATATGTACATATATATATATATATATATACACAAAAATATATACATATATATATATATATATGAAACATTATATATATATATATATATACACACACAGACAGATATATATATATATATATGAACATTATACATATACATATATATATACACACGCGTGTACATGCGTATTTCGCTGAAACGTTGGAACGCGTCCGAAGTCGCGTCTCGATCGATGTTAAAGGAGTCCCATTCATCCCGTCGTGGGTCCACGTTTTAACGAGAATCGACGAAACGTCGAACGCGTTCCCTCTATATAATCTGTTAAGTTGCTCCTTTTGGAAACGAAGTTCTAAGCATCGTATTCTGATCTAGTTTTTACTGAAATCCGACAGAAGGTAGTAGCCAGTCATGTTGTTCATTTGTCAATCTTATTCGAGGATAAAGCGAAATAATCGTCGAATAATTAAGATGGAATCGAAGCTGATGATTCAACGATGCGCGTGTACGATGTATAGAGTAATTATTACGAGATCGTAAGCTTCGTCCATGAACGAACAATTCTAATTAGTCACTACGTTGAAGACTGGTAAACGCGTGGGCGAGCCACGCGGGATTTTTCTTATGCCGCAAATCCGGACACACTACACGAAACATTTTAGTGGACACACTCGACGCGTGGACGGTGTCTCCTTCTCTGCCTTTGAACATGCCTCCGTTTATATTGATACGTATATGTATATCTATATATGTGTGTGTGTGTGTGCACATGTATGTACACGCGCACGCGTGTACGCGTATAAATATACATACACTTATAGTTATTGTTGTACGAGCCGTCATCAGTCTATGCGTTGACAAGGTCCGCATCCAGATCCGCTCGATGAAACGAACCGACCGGGTACGCGTTCAAAACAGTTTACGAATTAGTTTCGTCGGAGGCGCGACGAGGAAACAAATAATCATGACGTAGCGTAATGCTTTTTATTACATGCTAGTGTACAAATGACATTTATAATCTGTCGTGAGAATCGAGCAGTCTTCATAAGAAAGAAAAATGAAATGAATTGCGAGCGAAGCAATGTACGGAAACTTTTATGAATACTGGATCTGCCTTTTCGAAAGATTATAGCGCATTACACAGAAACATCGATACACGTATAATATATCTGTCTGTGGTAAGCGGACGGAAGGCTGCGCTCGAGGCGCGAACAGACACACATGTTCAGTCACTCACAACACACATGAAACACTTTGTAATCGTACAGTGTATTGCCTTTGTTAAGTAGCATTCGGATAAAGCCATATTTTTCCATGCAATGCAATAATCCAGCAAAGTAAATTACCGTAAATGTGAAACAGCCTAAATAGAAGAGTGCCAGATTTAACAAAAGAGAGTGAAACACAGAAAAAAGGAAGAGAGAAAGAGGGATGAGCGAATGCTTGAGCGAATGATAGATACATGATAAAAATTGGTGACGATGGACGTGAATAGGAAGAGGGAGGAATAGGAAAGGGCAAGTCAAGCCACGTTAGCGAACGCATTCGGAGTGAAATGTTGTGTGTACAGATAGTTTCCTAATATTCAGAATGTGTCTGCCTTTTATTCTGGCCTCGTGATAAATCTTGTCTTTATTTATACTCGACAATATACGGAATATCGTGTAAAGAAAAAGAAAAACAACTAAAAGCTAGATTAGGAAACTTTGTGAACATTTGGTTACCCGCGATACATGGAAAGGATTCTGGAAATTCGAAACTCGAGACAAAGTCGAAGTATGCGATCTGCATTTGTATGCGTTAAATAATCGGTTCCTCCACGTACATTCAAATTTTCACATCTCCAGTCGCGGTGGGATAAAACGCGTACACGCACATTCGCCTATACGGAGAAAATTTTCTGTGTTTCTTGTTGTTTTTTTTTCCTTTTTATTTCTCCTGATGGCTTCCGTTTCTCCTTTCGCAAGCAGATTTTTCTTCCACTGTAAAAAGAACGAAATATGATTACGTTGACAATGGAATATAGTAGAATCGTTGTACTTTAATTAGTTGAAAATTGATATCAGATAACGAGTCAGGATAACGAGGCGTAGTTATTTCCAGCAAGGAATATAGATAGCATCGTCGCTTGAGATTACGTATCGCGCGAATCATCGTTCAAAAAGTTCCAGTTGACAAAGGTTTTATACAGATCTATTGAAAAACCAGTATTTCAAACCAATGAAGAATAATTAGTTTTCTAATAATAAACGATACATTTTACGTGAATTTAGTACAGTACAATACCGTGCTTAAGTCAGTAATGCTCAGCGTATCTAACAAATATTTTTAGTGGAAAAGCCGTGTCATACTCACGTGTATTATAATGCCCCCTAATTAAAGTATGTAACTAAACAACAATCAAAGAAGCGTGGACGATACTTGACGATTATTACTATTATTAAATATTATATATATATTAACGATTAATTATTAATTATAATTATAGTCATTTTCTTAGGAGCACGTAGTACGTAGCCAATTGGAGGCAGTTTACGTTATATTTAATTAGGTTTATCGCTGATACACTTTTATGATGGTATTATTATTTGTAGATAGAATTTTTAGAATCTATTCGATCACACCTGATTACGATCATCCATTGGCGTGTTAGCCGCATCAGTGTTTCGTTCTACAGTTACCGAGATCAGCGTCCTGCGAATACTTTACCCGAGAACGCGATCGATCGGTCTCTCGTTTGCCATTCGTCTCATTCCGCGGTCTATACTATATATATGCGTGCATCGCTACCGTTTCTTCTTTTTTTTACTGGCTTCACATCGAGTTTCACTACCTACATGGAAGAGCAAGAAGAAGGATGATTAAAATAACTCCCCACTTCATTACTATTATTATTATTATTATTATTATTATTAATAGTGTTAAGAAGAAAGTGTCTAACGAGTTTGTAACGCTGTTCCCGTAGCCCCGTCCCAGAACACGTTTGTATGTGATGTATGTATGTATGCATGTATGAGTATCATCGACCGAGACCGATCGACCGGTTTTTCGCTCGCGTTAACAATTTACAATCGTGAAGAACGTTCTATAGATATTTTTCGAAAAAGAAAAAATGAACACAAGCCTATAAAAAGTCCAATTTTCTAAACGTAGGTTCCTTAAGAGTGTATAACAAATTTAGCGCGATCGTTAAGAAAGCGTAGCGTGCGAAGCATATACATACGCGCGGCTGCGAGCCGTAGGTTTGAACTGTGGCTTTGTTCCCCGGTTCCCGGTCGATGGACTACGGAACGTGTCATCGTTTGCCGCGACGCAACTGCGACCGTGCGTCGCGAATATACGGATAAATTTATTAGCGATTAGAAACGAGAAACAAAAAAAAAGTACATGATACATAATAGCTATTCGATGCGAAGCCCCTGCGCTGTTAAATTTTAATCAGGTTACATGCATAGAAAGTGAGTTGCACTCATCCGAAATCGCGGCCAGGAGGATGAGGAAGCGGGGATGGAGTAAGAAGAGGAGGACGAGCACGAAGAAAGTATAGAATCGTGTTTAATTTTTTATTTTGTTTGCACGTTTTTTCTCGCTGCCCCCTGAGGTATAAGGGATGCAGGGATATATAGAGAGAAGAGCGGCGGAATTTGCGCGATCACTGATATCTGATTTTCGAAAGGACTTCTTTTAGAGAAATATTTGTATTATTATTTGATGACAAAAAAAGAGAAGAGAAAGGAAATGAAGAAAGAGAAAGCAACAATAATGTATTCGAACTTTCCTCGAGTCGCAACGCGTTGTACTCACTTCTGTACAAAATTTTTCGTAGGTTGCGACGATATTCGATTGAAAGCTGCACTTTTCGGCTTCGCGGAATTTAAAGTATTGTTGTTTGATTTACGTATAAGCTGTACGTTAAGAACAAAAAAAATTGCTTATAATTTTAGGGTCGTGTAACGTGTGTTAGCGAAGCATGCTTCTACGTAGAAAGATAGGTCAACGCTATAACAATAATTATTATAATTAAAATAAATTAATAATATAAGGCATTTAATAAGTGCAAAGTATTTCTTAATAAAAGTACTTCCAAAAACGAACGTTACGTCCGCTCATTTCCTATCATCATTGCTATTTATTCTGGCAAGTATCCGTGACGAATTTCTAATTTCGAGTAAACGTAAGTACCCGTATACTTCGTTAAGG